ACTGTTAAACTGTGGTCTACTCTTGTAGGACACCCTTTTATCGATCTGGAAAACTCTGGTCCACTCCTGTAGGACACTCTTGTTGGACACACTTTGTGGAAAACTCTGGTCCACTCTTGTAGGACACTCTTGTCACACACCCTTGACATTCTTGTGGAAACAGAGGTGGCTGCCTGTTTGCACTTGCAAGCAGTTGGATGAGAGTTGCACCATGCACCATGCACTGCGTGAACCTTGGGCTTAGTGTCTCTTGTTGTTTGCAAGCGGCCTACGCTTGAGATGCCGAACGCTTCTCTTTAAAGGCATTCACTTGCTTGGACGTCATGATCGATAAATGCTTCCATGTTGGCGCAGGTCCTGACTCCAAGCAAGGATTTGAATCTTGCTCACTGGGCCAGCTGACCCAGGGCTCTGAGAGGATGTGCTGTAAGGCTTCTAGATGCCTGCCTGCTACCTGTTCTCCGATTGGTGCAGTATCTTGTAGCACCGGAGGTCATAGATCTTCGATCAAGCCACACACTGTGTTAGACAGTGTGATGTGAGACTTCTTCACTTGGGTCTCATGCTGTAGTATATCCTCCGCGAGTTTGAGAACCCTGCATCTGTGAGGATTCATAGCTGCTGCAGCGATTCTTTTTGGCGATGGGAGATGCCGGATCCATGGATTTGATCTCCTGGCTGTGGCTGTCCCGCAATGGACCCTGTTGCTAGCCACAGCTAGCATAGCGGCCGTAGGGAATGGATGTCAGTACTGGGATCGGCGCATCGTAGATTTTCCCACTGTACTTGTCCTTCTGTATGCCACCTCTTTTGTCCGAGTGCGGCAGGACAACCAGCTGCAAGTAGTACACCAGCCTTGAGCTGCAAGGTGACTTGTGTTCCATCACTCAAGGACCTCATCGCCGAAAGAAGATGTGGCTCCAGCTTCTGCTCGTTTTGCTCACCTTGCTCACCTTGTCTTCGCACAAGAACTCAGACTCGGTGTTGCTGTCCTTGCTGACAGTTCGTCGCACAGTGATGAGCAGGCTTCGTCCATCTCAAGGTCTTGCTCCAGTTTCCGACAGGGACACATGTCCGACAGAGTGCCGTTAGTGCATCAAAAATACCATTCCACGAACTGTCCACGAACAGCCTTGGGTTCTACGAAGGTCAACCGCCTTCCACGACGTTAGTATAGCAAAACCCTTTCTGTGCACTACCCTTCCGTTTGCCTTTGAAGAATATAGATGGGTCAGTTTGGTGCCATTGACCTATAAAACACCAACTAGGCCTCCTCTCAGGCTATGGGTTATACCATTCTGATATCTGCCATAAGACCAGGGTGGGATATCCCAGAGACCAACGTATCGACCGATCTCCTGCCACATCCCACAGCTGTCTCCTATCCTGCCTCTCACTTTCGCTCGCGGCCTTTCCTGGTGAGGCTGCGCTTGTGGACGTGGCCAAATGCTGGAAGCTGTGCAACCCTGATGATGATGTGGAGGACTGGTTGGTGTTGAAGATGTGAACTACACCCCTGCAAGACCAAACCCTCCAAATTAAAACTCCTCCTTGAGATTTGAAAACGTGCTAGAAGTACTAGGCCCCAAGTGCCAAACACACAGAGGCAAATGCAATCTAGTATCTTGGATTGGATCTTGACTCCTCCCCCACGATTCTTGCCCACCATCATGTTGGCAGTCTTTGTGACTATCCAGGAATGGGCCAAAAAGGA